GGATATAAGTGAACTTCTTTCAAATAGGTTCATGGGATGAAACCCATTAGCCTTTTCATCAAAATATTTTGGTCTAGTAAGCAATGCATCAATCCTCTCTTTTGCTATATTATGAAACAAAAAGGGTGATCTTTTTGTTTCATTGATAACAAAGTTCGACGTACCAGACTCTTCCAACAAAAAGGGGTTTAATTTTTTTAAATAAATCATTTTAAACCCTATTGATTCCAACAACTGATTACAAAGTTGACCGTTCGGTCCTTGTAATTGATAGATATAGATTTCGGACCTCTGAACAGGACTAGTACCAAAACTTACACAGGAAAAACCAAGTGAATTAGACAAAAAGAAAAGCAACTTGATCATACAGTGAAATCCCTTCGTAAAAAAAAAACGAAGTGACTGGGGAAAAAAGAAGAAACGTACTGATTTGGACAACTTGGTAAAAACTAAAGGAACTAACTTATACACATTTTTTTTTACTTTGATTTCTACTTCCCTGCGAACCTTAGACCAATAAATCCATTTCTCAGTTATTTTATCAATAACATAAATACATAATTTATAAACTTTCTCAAACATCATTTGCAAATGGCCCTTTCGGACTTGAACATACATTTCAAAAAGTCTTTTCTGCTCATAAAGAAAATGTTTTGAATTTTCTTGTAAACTCTTTGCCCCATTTGACCATTTGGATCTATATGGATGACCCTGTTTTATTTTATATGTCATATGAGTTAGATGATTGAGAAGACCCGTTTCTTTTTGATCCCCTTGAATTCTCCTAATTCGATATTTGAAATTGTGATTGGATATATTTATGAAAACAAATTTATTTAATAGATTTCTTATGTACACATAGGTACTAGATTGCATTTGAATCATATTGTGAATGAATCTATATCTATATAGATTCACTGCTTCAATCCATACGCAGTTTTGGCCCGTTCGCTGAAAAAAAGAGTTATTCTCCTTATAACGAAAAAAAATAGGCGAAAGAGCCAACAAAGATTGATTTTTTGATTCAGTCCTAGTATTGAATATTTTATTCAATAATTTGATTTTATGCAATTCATATGAATCTATATTAACAAAAAAAGTAAATCCCTGATTATAGACTGGATCCGGCTCGCTTATTGTCAGAATAAATAAACCTGGACTTTTTTGTAATTTTTTTTCTGATTTCCAATTATGTTGTAGCACATAGCTTCCTTGTTTACTTTCAAGGAATCGGTTAACAAAAGAAAATAATGGAGTTTTTTTAAGAAATCCAGTATTCTTCGAATTTTCTATTTCGGGATCCAAAGAAATAGACTTAATTAAAACAGTCCTTTTTAAATACGTAAGTATTCTAAATAGATTAACTATTTCTTTCTTTTCCGCTTGCCGGACAAAAGAAAGAGATTTATTCCTAAATTTCGGATCCATATTGGACTTAGCAATAGGAGTTGATCCCATATAAAGTTCTGACCATCTATCAGAGTAAAATGAATAAAGGGACCTCGGGGCATTGCCCCGAGATTGTTCCCTTTCTTTCGGAAACGGAAGGCTTAGCGTGGGTTTACGGCCTTTGATCTCTTTTTGTTCGGTTTTAAGAAAGTAAGGATCCCAAGAAGTTGATCTTTGTTTTCGTTGTTTAAATTTTCTTTTATTCATTAATTTGGAATATTCGGAATCCTCATTTCTAATGGAATCCAAAAAATTTCTATCCAAGGATCCTTTCGGTTGGCCGGAATCTTTTACTTGTAAGGAACTAGATCTTGTGGAATCATAAGGAAACTCCAGCGATTTTTTATCTTTTAATAATACCAGATTTAAACCAAGAAGTTTCATTGGAATTTCTCTAAATTCCGTTCTAGTTCGTCTAATAATTTCTCTAATAAAGTTTTTCCCCTGCGTCGAATCTGACTTTGATTGAGGCATGTTAGGTTTTTTTTTTATTGGCAAAACCCGAGTATTATAGTTCGTATTCAGTAAATCAATATCAATTTGATTTTTGCCTTTTGGAAAAGAAAGGAGTAAAATACTCAATCGATTTAGAGTAGAATAACCACTATCTTGATCAGTTATGGATTCACTGCAATTCATCGGTATAGGAAAAAGTCTTTTTAAATAGAGATTTTTTCTTTCAACCATATTTTGATTGCTAATACGATAAATAAAGATAACAACGCCAACGAAAACTAGTAAAACTCCCTTAATCTTGACCGATCGATTGCTTTTTGAACCCTGCAAATTAGGTGAAAGTACAAGACTCCAAATTTGTGGGTCAAACAGTTTTAAAAACCGTTCTTGGGAGACTAAAATATGAATGGAAGATCCGATTGAATTCAATTGGGTCCATGAATCTAAAAAATATTTTGATTTTTTAATCTCTCTCAGTATCTCTCGTAATTCTAGAATCCAGAACTTGTTTTGCTTAGGTTCCATCTCATACCTCCATAAGATTTTATGCAAAAATTTTAAGTACTTGTTTTATATAATTGACTATTGACTATTTAATGTAAAAATAGAAATGATAAATAGAGTCTTTGTTTAGTATTTCAGATTTCCGAAATTCTTTATTTAAACGACATTTTTTTATGTAATATTTTTTGCTGTAATTCGATATTGAATATTAGATTCTCTATTCCTATCATATCCTATCATATAAAATAAAATATCATTTTTTTTTATTTGCAATTCCAAGATTCATAATTACCATAATTATTATATTTTAATTTTCAATTTTTATAGATGATGGTCTCGTTTAAGCATCCATAGCTAAGTGGTTAAAGCGCCCAACTCATAATTGGCGAAGTCGTAGGTTCAATTCCTACTGGATGCACACTATTAGCACTATTAGTTATTTACACAAAATCTCATTGACCCTCCAATTCTTCTTTTTATGATATTTTTGTTATATTTTAGGATATATATTAGCATAGATCTACTTTGAGCATTTCCTTCATAATCCATATTAAATATCATATAAGATATATGCTCCTAGATAGATTTGTCCATATCAAATATCATAGAAGATATATGTTCCTAGATAGATTTCATGTTGACTATTTCCATTTCATATATCATAATAGATAATTCTAGGATACCGATACATATAGAGAATCTATCTCTATATTAGAGATATAGATAGATTCTATCAACACTCAAAATTAACATTTTTATTTCAACTTAAAATAATACGGAATGAATTAAAATTCGGGATGGAATAAAAGATATAATATTAAAAAAAAGAATTTAGTTATTAAAAAATAATAAATAGACTTTTTTTGAAATCCACGTCATAAACTTTGAGTAGTGCTACGCTTCTGGCAAAGGGTCACATAATGGTAGGCCCTCCCTATTAGAGGACATATAATGCAATGGCTACCGCAGATCATTAGACATTGGCTTACACCTCCAAACAAATAAACTTTAAATCCAAAATAAAAATCATTTATATCATGGGAATACAATTATACAAAACTTATAACCCGAGCGAAACCGTAAACAGCCCAAAATTTGCTCGAAGAAAAAATTTGCTCTCTGGAAAGCATCATTGTGGTAAAGGTCGTAATGCTAGAGGAATCATTACAGCAAGGCATAGGGGGGGGGGGTCATAAGCGCCTATACCGTAAAATAGACTTTCGACGGAATGAAAAAGACCTATATGGTAGAATCATAACCATAGAATATGACCCTAATAGAAATGCAAACATTTGTCTAATACATTATAAGACTGGTGAGAAGAAGTATATTTTACATCCGAGAGGGGCTCAAATTGGAGATACCATTGTTTCTGGTACAAATGTTTCAATCAAAATTGGAAATGCCCTACCTTTGACCGAAATCCCCTTAGGCACGACTATACATAACCTAGAAATTACACGTGGAAGGGGTGGACAATTAGCTCGAGCAGCGGGTGCAATGGCGAAACTGATTGCAAAAGAGGGTAAATCAGCTACATTAAAATTACCTTCTGGCGAGGTCCGTTTTATATCCCAAAACTGCTCCGCAACAATAGGACAAGTCGGGAATGTTGGGTTCAACCAAAAAAATTTGGGTAGAGCTGGAGCTAAACGATGGCTAGGTAAGCGTCCTGTAGTCAGAGGAGTAGTTATGAACCCCGTAGACCATCCACACGGGGGCGGTGAGGGTAGAGCTCCTATTGGGAGAAAAAAACCTACAACCCCTTGGGGTTATCCCGCACTTGGAAGAAAAACTAGAAAGAGGAATAAATATAGTGAGAAGCTCATTCTTCGTCACCGCAGTTAATATAATAGTATAATATAGTTAATAGAGTGAATATACTTAATGTAATATATATAGTATAAAAATTAATATAATAGAACAAATTAAATTTATTCATTCAATTATATGAAAAATAAAAAAATAAAAGAATAATAAAATTTATAGGAGTAAACTGTGGCACGTTCACTAAAAAAAAATCCCTTTGTAGCTCATAAATTATTAAAAAAAATTGAGAAACTTAACACAAAGGGAGAAAAAGAAATAATAATAACTTGGTCCCGGGGATCTACTATTATTCCAATAATGATTGGTCATACTATTGCCATTCATAATGGGAAAGAGCATCTCCCTATTTATATAATGGATGATATGGTCGGACACAAATTGGGAGAATTTGCAACTACTTTAAATTTTCGAGGACATGCAAAAAATGATAAGAAATCTCATCGGTAATGTGAATACTAAAAAATATTTTGATGCTTATAAGTCATTAGTAGGAGGCAAATTTTATGTACCAGATGCTAAATAAAAAAACCCCAGAAGTATACGTTTTAGGTCGACGTATAGCTATGTCGGCTAATAAAGCACGAAGAGTTATTGACCAAATTCGTGGGCGTTCCTATGAGGAAACACTTATTATATTAGAACTCATGCCCTATCGTGCCAGTTATCAAATTTTAAAATTGGTTTATTCAGCCGCATCAAATGCTAGTTACACTATGGCTTCAAATAAAGCAAATTTAGTTATTAGTCAAGCTGAAGTTAATGAGGGGACTGCTGGAAAGAAATTAAAACCTCGGGCTCGCGGGCGTAGTTATCCAATAAAAAGACCGACCTGCCATATCACTATTGTACTAAAAGATATTTCATTCAATGATTCTGAATCCGTGGAGCTCGGTTTGCTAAAAAAACCACAAGCGAAAAAAAATTCTAGAACTAAAGCATATTCTGATATCCAGAAAAGGATGGTATTTATGGGACAAAAAATAAATCCACTTGGTTTCAGACTTGGTACAAACCAGGCCCATTATTCACTTTGGTTTTCGCAACCAAAAACGTATGCTGAAAATCTGCAAGAAGATCAAAAGATAAGAGCTTTTATAAAAAATTATGTACAAAAAAATAGAATCAAACCCTCGGGTACCGAGGGAATTGCAGGTATATGTATTAAAAAAAGACTCGATCTAATCCAAGTCATAATCTATATTGGATTTCCCAAAGTATTCATTGAAAATAGCCCGCAGGGAGTTGAAGAATTACAAAAAGCTCTACAAAAAAAATTAAATTTCGTAAACCGAAAACTTAATATTGCTATCACAAAAATTGAAAAACCGTATGGAAATCCTAATATTCTTGCCGAATTTATAGCTGGACAATTAAAGAATAGAGTTTCCTTTCGAAAAGCAATGAAAAAAGCTATTGAATTAGCTGAACAAGCAGATACAAAAGGAATTCAAGTACAAATTGCGGGACGCCTTGACGGAAAGGAAATTGCACGTGTGGAATGGATAAGAGAAGGAAGAATTCCCCGCCAAACTATTCAAGCTAAAATTGATTATTGTTGTTATTCAGTTCGAACTATCTACGGGGTTTTAGGCATAAAAATTTGGATATTTTTTGATCAAGCTCAATAAAATTTTATTCATTCTTTTTACCTGTAATACCGAGCGGCCATTTCACAAATTATTTTGTGTAATGAGCAGGAACAGTTCTAATTGATAATAATGAATTCTATAAGGTTGAATAAAAATTTTATTTATTTTTAATAAAAATATCATTGCTATGCTTAGTGTGCGACTCGTTTATTTTTTAAGGTTAGCATGAAACCAAACCCAAAGTAACAACTACTAACTCGAGAAGAAATTACCTAATAATTAACTCATCAATTTCGCATTATCTGGATCTAAATAACCAGTCACGATATGATTACCGCTCATATCGTTGTAGCAACTGCCATTTATTTGCATAAACGAAAAATAGTATTCAAATATTATTGAAGTTGCGAAGCAAAATATAAAAAAGATGTGGATAATTGGAAGGGAGAGAGAAAGGGAGAAAAAGAAGCTCAATGATTGAAAATTCCAATATGTAGGGTCTAACAAAACAGGCAATGTAATGAAGCATTAATACTTAAATTCTGCATATTAAAGTATTTAAAATAGAATAAGAAATCTAAGAATATTCAATAATAAAAAACAATATACTCTTATTATAGAAATCTATAATCTATATATAAATATTCAATTAGATATTAAATATAGAAGAGATAAAATAAAAAAATAAAGTCAAGAGCTTAAAGCCAATAAAGACTAAGAAAAATGGCTAAAGACTTAAATTATTCATATATTATTACTATTTGAGCTCCATTGTAAAATTAGGACCTAACCATTAAGTAAGAAGTGATGGGGACGACGGAACTTATGAGAATACAAAAGATTCAATTCAATTCAAGATGAAATAAAAAAAAATCTTAAACATTCACTGGCTGGGATGGCGGAATAAACCAATGTTAAATTATTTTATTTCTAGATACTAGCTATAAGATGTCACAAACTCGTCCTAGAAATGAAATCTAAATTGACAGAGTCAATATTCGCCCGCGAAAACTTTTTTCAAAAGAATCAATATTCAATCTAAAGCAATATAAAGAATAGTCAAAAATGAAGGATTAGTTAGACTCAGAGAATCATGAAAAAACTGTAGAATAATTCATTTCAATTCAAATAGATTTAAAAAAAGATCACTCAATCCCTAAATATTATTTTGACTTCTCAGTCCAGACTTTTATTATCTATCTTTAGATTTAGATATCTTCACTATGATTAGTCAATTTGAGTCAAACGCTCATTTTGTAAATACTTTATTCGTAATTCGCGAGGAGCTGGATGAGAAGAAACTCTCACATCCGGTTCTGTAGTAGAGATGGAATAAATAAAAATCCATCAACTATAACCCCAAAAGAACCAGATTCCGTAAACAACATAGAGGAAGAATGAAGGGAATAGCTTCTCGAGGGAATCATATTTGTTTCGGTAAATATGCGCTTCAAGCACTTGAACCCGCTTGGATCACATCTAGACAAATAGAAGCTGGGCGACGGGCTATGACACGAAATGCACGTCGTGGAGGAAAAATATGGGTACGTATATTTCCCGATAAACCAGTTACTGTACGACCCGCAGAAACACGTATGGGTTCAGGAAAAGGATCCCCTGAATATTGGGTTGCTGTTGTTAAACCCGGTCGGATACTTTTTGAAATGGGTGGAGTAACAAAAAATATTGCCAGAAAAGCTATTTCAATAGCAGCATCAAAAATGCCGATACAAACTCAATTCATTATTTCGGAGATAGAATAGACGATATAACTCTAGAACCAACCCAAAGAATCTTAAGAATGAAACAAAAACAAAAAAAAAAGAGGTTTCGTTTTATGTTTGTGGACAAAAAATATTTCTTTTTTTCTTCGCCCTTTGCATTGTGAAAGAAAAGAATAAAAAAAATGCTATGATTCAATCCCAAACCCTTTTAAATGTAGCGGATAACAGCGGGGCTCGAAAATTGATGTGTATTCGAATAATAGGAGCTAGCAATCGTCGATATGCTTATATTGGTGACATTATTGTTGCTGTTATCAAAGAAGCTGTACCTAACATGCCTCTACAAAGATCTGAAGTAGTTAGAGCCGTAATCGTGCGTACCTCTAAAGAACTAAAACGTGGCAACGGGATAATAATACGATATGATGATAATGCCGCAGTTGTTATTGATAAAGAAGGAAATCCAAAAGGGACCAGAATTTTTGGTCCAATCCCCCGGGAGTTAAGACAATTAAATTTTACTAAAATCGTTTCATTAGCTCCTGAGGTATTATAAAAAAAATTAAAAAATGGAGTAGAATCTGTCTCACGTATATAACTTTAAGATTAAAATAAAGTAAGATAAACACAATAATCCATAGACAATAAAAAAAACACGTTGAGAGTAGAAAAATTTTTAGCTCCATAATTAGAGTTCATCATGGGTAGGGACACTATTGCTGAGATAATAACTTCTATACGGAATACTCATAGGGATGGAAAAAGAACAGTTCGAATCCCATCCAGTAATATTAACGAAAAGATTGTAAAACTCCTTTTAAAAGAAGGTTTTATTGAAAGTGTGAGAAATCATCGAGAAAACAACAAAAATTTTTTAGTTTTAACTCTGCAACATATAAACACTAAAAAAAGGACCTTTAGCAATATTCTAAATTTAAAACGGATAAGTCGACCCGGTCTACGAATGTATTCTAAGTCTAAAAAAATACCTAAAATTTTAGGCGGGATGGGGGTTGTAATTCTTTCTACTTCACGTGGTATAATGACAGACCGAGAAGCCCGACTGCAAAGAATCGGGGGGGAGATTTTGTTTTATATATGGTAATATTTTCAAGATGCCAATTAGGTAGAAACTTTCCATTTCTATGATTCCCAAATGGGATATTTTAGAATCTAATGAAATCCCCATTCCTTATTGCTTCTAGGTCACTGAAATAAAGAATAAAGTCCTTCGGATGAAAGAACAAAAATCACTTTCCTTTTTTCAAGAATTTTTTTATTAAGGAATCCTTTTCAAATAGTATGTTCTGGTTTTCTTTTTTATTGATTTAGATAATCAACTAATAAAGTAATAAAGATTGGATTATAAGTTCTTTTTGTGAAAATAGGCTAAATTCATTTTTAGTTTAGACGGATAACTTCAGAACAAGTCGATGAAGCTTTTGCAACACAACAATGATTCAAAGGAGTCATTTTTAAACTTAGCTATCTCTTTGGCAAAAATAACAAAATTAGAAATTGAAAATAAAAAAAAAAATGAATGTTTTTATTATAATCTTCCAATCAAACCGAAACTCTAAAGTAAATTTAAAAGAAATGTAAGGAGTCTGAATATGAAAATAAGAGCTTCTGTTCGTAAAATTTGTGACAGATGTCGATTAATACGGAGAAGGGGACGACTTATAGTAATTTGTTCCAATCCCAGACATAAACAACGACAGGGATAATAAGACTTCGCAACTTAACTTAGTAACTAAACCAATTATAGAAATGAAAGAATCGTGAAATGGATATATCCATATAGTATATCGCTGACTCAGATTTACAAAATGCTTAATGGTAAAATATATATCGAGAATTAGTTCGCGTAGGAAGGGGGGACGTATTGGTTCACGTCAGAATGCACGTAGAATACCAAAAGGAGTAATTCATGTTCAAGCCAGTTTCCATAATACCATAGTGACTGTTACAGATGTACAGGGACGGGTAGTTTCTTGGTCCTCTGCCGGTACTTCTGGATTCAAAGGAACCAGAAGAGGAACACCTTTCGCTGCTCAAACCGCGGTAATAAATGCTCTTCGTAAAGTAGTGAATCGAGGTATGCTACGAGCCGAAGTATTTATAAAAGGTCCCGGTCTCGGAAGAGATGCAGTATTACGAGCTATTCATAGAAGCGGTATATTATTAACTTTTATAAGGGATGTAACCCCTATGCCACACAATGGCTGTAGACCCCCCAAAAAACGACGTGTGTAGAAATCAAAAGTGAACCTATATCAAGAGAAATAGAAGATTCACTAATATACTAAATCAAAATTTTTATGGTTCGAGAGAAAGTAGCAGTATCTACTCGGACACTACAGTGGAAATGTGTTGAATCAAGAATAGACAGTAAACGCCTTTTTTATGGCCGCTTTATTCTATCTCCACTTATAAAAGGTCAAGCCGATACAATAGGAATTGCGATGCGAAGAGCTTTGCTGGGAGAAATAGAAGGGACATGTATCACACGTGTAAAATCTGAGAAAGCCTCGCATGAGTATTCTACCATAGGGGGGATTCAAGAATCGGTACATGAGATTTTAATGAATTTGAAAGAAATTGTATTGAGGAGCAATCTATATGAAAGTTGTGATGCGTCTATTTGTATCAAGGGACCTCGACATGTAACTGCCCAAGATATAATATTACCCCCCCATGTACAAATTGTTGATAACACACAACATATAGCTTGGTTGACGGAACCTATTGATTTTTTTATTGGATTAAAAATAGAGAGAAATCGCGGATATTTCAA